TAGTTTTAGGAATCGAGCATTGAGCAGTCTGGAACTAGTTTGACCGGTTGGTTAACCGTAGAGATGAGATGCATAACTAACGTTATAGTTTTTGATTCTCTTTCTATAATATAAAACAGAAACTATTTTCTTTTCTGTTAAGCTATCCGTATACATTAGGGTTTATATCAGAGCCCCGTATTGAGTCCAGTCCAATCCGAGTCCATGAAATCCAAAAAATTTGAGTCCAGTCCATACGGAGCTCTGGTTTATATATAGTACTGTTTCATGTGGACGATAGGAGAATGAATAACGAAACTTTTACTTTCATTCGTGTCATATATCTATTTTTTTTTCTGTCTCTCTATGCGTTAATTGTTTTCGTGAAAGTGTGAAAGGAACATGTAAAAAAGATGCCTCAAACTCAAGTAGCCTGTAATCGAGTATGGCGTCTGTCTTTGCGATTACCTTCTTCTGCCAAAATCATGACTCATCCTTTCACATACTGAGTGAAATGTATCGACACATTTTTAGAGCATATGAAATAAAACTCGGGTGAGTATATTGGCACTCCCAGCAACTGTTTGGGAGTGTCAACCAGAAACTGTTGGCACACCTAGAAAATACCACTACACTGCAAAAATACAAGATTACAGTGGCGCCCTCAGCAACCGTATAATTCCTAACACACAGCGTTTTCTTTGAAAAAAACAGGTTTCATTTTTCGGAAAACAGAATGTACGTGCACTATTTGAGCTTACGCCGGTGACACTGTTTTTTCATTTAACCATATCGCACTGGAGAGAAACTTGAAATAACTTATACTTCTCGCGAATTAGAACTCATTTACAAACAACTCAAAAATTAAAAAAGCTTTAAAAGAATAACATGTAATTTAAAATGCTGGGCTCCGGAGAATAAACCGCTTTTCCGACATAGCTTTTACACTAAGTTTGCCTGGCGACGGAAATAGCTCCTAGTTGCCACTCCCGGGAGTACCAATAGCTTCGTGTTGACACTCCCAAACACTTGCTCGGACTACCAATAGCTTCTTGTTGACACTCCTGGGAGTGTCAATTCCAATCAAACTTTCACATTCATGAATGTGAAAGCAATGAAAGAAAAGAGAATACCATTACTCATTTTCTCTCGTTTCGTAACCAAACGTTAGCTATGTATAGAAAGAAAAGACGTTTACACCTTACGATTCTCGTTAGGCACATATTCCTTCTTCTTATTTTTTAAGCTACCCGGTTAACTGGGCACTGCAACGGTCTAATCGGTCGGTTAAATGGGCGGTTGGAGCTAGATCAGATAGAGCTAGCTCGATCGGTCGGTTAAGCGGTCGGTTAACCTAGCTGATAACCTCCCTGTGTTTAGTCTATTTGATACCAGAAACTAGCTTAATCGGTCGGTTAAATGGGCGGTTGGAGCTAGATCAGATAGAGCTAGCGCGATAGGTCGATTAAGTAGTCGGTTAAGTGGTCGGTTAACCTAGCGTATAACCTCCACAACCGCCCAAAAGTAGGTTGAATCGCCCGATCCTAGGTTAAACTTTTTAAGGTGGATCTAGCTTAACCGGGTCGAAAACCGTGTTATCTGGCTTCAACCGCCCGATTCTAGCTGCAAATCATCTGGTTTATTTCTGTTCGATTTCCAAACCATTTTTTGTAATTAACGATACAGGTAAAGAGCGAAAATATATTTCAAATATTGTCAACATGTGACAATTTATGGTAAATAAAGGATTCATACATAGATAAAAGTTTTTTCTCTTTTCTTTTTCTTACCTGTACTAGTGTCTTATTTTTTTCTTCTTGCGCTCCTATACCAAATGAAGATGATACATACAATAACACATATCGACTGTTTAGACAACAAGTGTGTAAACAAACAGGTAACCTTCGGTTTGACTTGAAGAAAGTATCGACAATACAAATCATTTTTGCAATTTTTATTTGATTGAAATTTAGAGTTAAAGTAAGAAATAAAAATATATAATAGTAGGTGAAGTATTTTAAATGATATAATAATTTTTGTTTAATCTTCATCGAGACATTCTCATAGAAAATTTTATATCTCGCCAACAATGATTCTAGCTATATACTTTTAGTAGTCATTGTAGCGTGTTTTAATACAACTTTAACACTCTTAAAATTAGATATCCACACTCTAGAATTGTAGAAATAGTTCATATTCATATCTATGTTTGGTTGTAGAATATACGTGATAAAGAATACAAATGAACCGATTCACCGAATTTCAACTTGAAGACACGAAACTAACACCTATTGCTGGGTATTGGGCCTATCAACTTGTTTCTATAGACGAAGCATTAAGATCTTTTATGTCCGAAATTAATGAACTAAAACGTTCTGTTAAAGAAGCCAAAAAATATTGTACATATCCATCGGAACATAAACTTACGCGCGATGAATCAGCTGCTTTATTTTTATATACAATGGAAGCTGGCGAGCATAGTTTTTATCGTATTTTAAATCAAATATTAAGAAATGAAGATCGAAATCAAGTAAAACCATGGTTCAGTTATCTGAAACTATTCGACACAGCATTACATAAATTGCCAAAAGTTAAAGGAAACGTTTGGCGAGCTGTGCCTGGCAATGTTACCAGTAGTTATAAAACAGATCGAATATTGAATTGGTGGTCTATTAGCTCTTGTTCAACATCAGTCGATGTTGTCAAAGCTTTCCTGAAACCCGATCAGGAAGCAACACTTTTCATGATTGAAGCTGCCGATGGAAGAAATCTGGCTGGTTATACCATGTATCCCAACGAAAAAGAAGTTATATTAGGGGTCGGCACTCAATTACGCGTGAAAAATATTGGATTTAAACATGGCAATTTACATGTAGTACATCTAGAAGAAATTAAAGATGATAATACCGATGATGACGATGATCAGGAGGAAGTAGCAGCAGCAATATCTAAAATACATGTAACGCCAAACTCACCGAAATTAAACATGAAAACAACATCGAGTAAGTCAGTGTAGGATGCACCAGTTCCAGTTCAGAACTGGAGGACTGGACCCTCATAATAATTATTTAGAGATACGTTAAGTCCTCGTAAACTCCTATATAGACGCACCCTTCGGCCCTCATGGGCTACTATTGGGAGATACCCTTGAGTCCTAAGCGAGGGAGCATTGGGTTTTCGGATCGTGATTTTGTTTCCTATTGTCCGTGTGAAACATGGTGGTGTTCGCGTGGATTTCAGGTTTTCCATGGTGCTCTACAATTCGTCCCGAACAACATGGCGTTTCTTCCGAACTATAGTAGAGAACGAGAAAAGCTCCAACTGGGGAGTATTGTAGCAGGTTTTGAATAATAACTTTCCACACTATTGTAAGGGCGAAACACCATGTTGCCAAGACCCAAGAACTCAACCAAGAATACTCCCCTGATTTGGCCTTTTTTCGTTCTCTACTACAGTTCAGAAGAAACACAATCCAAATACAGAGCCTAGAGGGCCTGAGCATCCTTCCAAGAAAAGGTAGATGAGGACCCAGTCTATCGGAACTGGTGCTTCCCTAAGTGACTGATTTCTTGGTTGGAGCATATTTTATCTCGCTTGTAATACATATGAAAGGCAAAGGTCGTCGGTCTAGCAGCGTTGCTCCGTATTTGGTTTCATCATAATTTTAAACACATTTTTACACGTTTGTTTACCAACTTGAGCACATCTTACACAGAAAATAGGTAATCGTTCCTGTATCGTTACACCTAGACTCTTAACCTTATATTTAATTATATCAGAATACATATACTTTTCTATCTAATGTCTTATCTCGATGCCATAATACCTGTATGAACTTTGTTGTACAATACTATCTGTATGCTTCATTGTACATTCTTTTCTTTGCATCCTTACATTTATGGCTTATATATATGTACTTCAATATTCGTATCATTATGTTTATGTCAATATATCTTTAATAACTTTAGAACTAGAATGAATTAGAGCAACTTTTTCCGAAGTTTAGGAAATCATCATAATAAAAGACTCTAAGAAGATTGTAAACGAAACATCGATGAGCTCTTGCTAAACTTGTACAAGAATCAACTGATGACTAATACGAAGCGTGTTCAAAAACTAGCCGGACTAGTTTTATTAAAAACAATAGGAAGCGCTGCTGTATTTGTATTATTCCCTGTGCGTAGTTCATACAGTTCTCTATCTCTAGACATCATGAACTCAGTTGAATTAAGCATATATATGAAAATATAGAAATATATTCAGATCACTGTATAGACACTAATAAAAAATCAAAAACTTGAGCAAAGTTTTGTGTTTTACAGGGATAATTACCATCTAGTACCGTAACCAGAAAAAAGTTACAGGGGGGGGGGGGGGGGGGCAGGGCGGGGGCGGGCGTTTTACGCGGGGCGGGAAAAATTGTAGAAGGCAAGCAGAGGGGTGGGAGGTTTTGA